AGAGGGATGATGTTAATGAAATATGTATTTTAGAGAATTAAGTCTGTTTCAGTATCCAAGCACAGAAGATGAAGGTCTTAACTAAGAGAGGAACAATATAATTGAGAGGAATATTTGACTTTGAATTCTGATAGAACAATTCTGAGTATTGCAGGGATAATATAGGGAAGAAGAGGAATCAAAATAACCTAGTTATCTCATTTGGTTTATTGGGTGATGGTAATGTCTTTTGTTTTTTCACTTTTTTGTTGTTGTTGATTTGCTGTTTTAATTTTATTAAATATACTAGAGTCACAGAGCATGGAATTTGTGCATGGGTAAGGTCCCTAGGCCTGCCAGGCAATCAGAGCTGATCAGGTTCCCCACCTTGCTGCCTCAACTTCTCCTTGCTTCCTCCTTCCCTCCTTTACTCCCTCAGCACCCCACCGCAGTTCGCCCACCATGCTTCGTGCCACCCCCTGGTGGTCAGCACAAGTCATAGTGAGTGATTGAACTTCCTGTCTCCTGGTTGAACTCCTGAGAGGACAATTGCATATTAACCTTTTATTATATACAGTACTAAAGGCTCAATGCATGAGAATTCATTCAAGAGTAAGCATTCCTTCCCCCAGCTGCAGGCACTGGCTTCCATCTGGCATCTGGGATCCAGGCTTCTCTCTGGCTACCACCAGAAGGTGCCCTGAACCTAGGTGCTTTGATTTGGCAGCTACCTACAGGCGCCTTGATCCATGTTGCTTCACTCCAGCCCATCTCTGTCCAGAATGATGCCCGGCAGGATTTGGGTCTAATGAGCATGCTACCTTTATTATTATGATAGGATAGGATTATGTAGGCTTATTTGATTGCATTATTGGCCATGAGATTGAACTCAGTCTCCAGCTCCCTCCTATTTTTCATAGGACATCAAGTTTATATTATATAGGTAAAAAACCCAACCCTTTAATCACATAGTTGCTCTTTCTGGTTTGGCCAGCCATACTAATGAGTTGTCATGAATATTACATAACTATGATGTTGAGGGCTGATGAATAATGAAGACACTCTTGGATTTTTAGATCCCTTCAGAAACCAGGGACAGAGTATAATCACAATTTTTATTTTACAACATACTCCAAACTCACTTAGCTTTATCTTCTGACATCCATCTCCACATTTCCAGATTCTATGACTATTCTACCATTATCTTGATAGTCAATTGTAGATAAATTTTATAACTTCCTTTCCATCTTCATCTTCCTTTCCTGCTCCCCAAACAGATATCAGCTTCTTTGCCAGCCTCAATACCACATTTGGTTAAATAACTGATAAGTTCCTGCATTGATAGGATGATATATAAATTTTATTTCTTTTGCCTCTTTTGGAAGGTTTCAAGAGCTTGTTTTTGGATTGGTCCTTTCATGGCACCTGAATATTAAACTGGGATCAAAGTTTGTAATACTCTTAAAGTTTTGTTTTTCTATTACCTGTTATATTAGTTTGCTGGGACTGCCATAAAAATGTCCAATAGACTGGTGGCTGAAATGAGAAAAAATACTTTCTCATGATTCTAGAGGTTGAAAGTCCCAACATCAAGTGTCAGTAGTGTTGATTTCATTAAAAAATTTCTTTTAAATAGATTTTTAGAGAGGAAAGGAGAGAGAAAGAGAAACATCAATGTGAAACACAACATCAATCCGCTGCTTCTTGCACACTCACTAGTGGGGAATGAGCCTGCAACCCTGGGCATGTACCCTGACCAGGTATCAAATCAGCAATCTTTTCATGCCTGGAACAAAACTCAACCAACTGAACCACAAGGCATGGTTGGTTTCTTTTAAGGCTTCTCTCCATGGCTTTTAAGTGGGTGTTTTTCCTTGTGTTCTCACATGGTCTTCTCACATGTGTATCTGTGACCTAATTTTTTCTTATCAGGACACCAGGCTTATAGAATTAGGTCCCTAATATGACCTGATTTTTAAAAAATATATTTTATTGATTTTTCACAGAGGAAGAGAGAGGGATAGAGAGTTAGAAACATCAATGAGAGAGAAACATCGATCAGTTGCCTCTTGTACACCTTCTACTGGGGATGTGCCTGCAAACCAAGGTATCAGTATATGCTCTTGACCGGAATCGAACCTGGACCTTTCAGTCCACAGGCTGACGCTTTGTCCACTGAGCCAAACCGATTTCGGCAATATGACCTAATTTTACCTTATTTCTTTAAAGGTATAATCTTTAATACGGTCACATTCTGAAGTACCAGGAGTTAGGACTGCAACATGATTTTTTGGAGAGGGACACAGTTCAGCTTGTTTTATCTGTTTCCTGTCTTAATCTGTTTCCTCTGGACCTTTTTCATTTATCTGACTTCCATCTCTCTTTCACATATTTTTCTGACCATATCATAGTCTTTGGTTGTCCTTGTATATTTTCGAGTTAGGCTGTGAACAGCTGATTGGTTTAGTTTTCGTATGGACAGAGTTTGTAAGAGGCTTTTAAAAAATGTATATTTTTATTGATTTCAGAAAGGAAGGGAGAAGGAGAGAGGGAGGAAAGAAGGGAGGGAGGGAGGGAGGGAGGAAGGGAGGGAGGGAGGGAGGGAGGGTGGGAGGGAGGGAGAGAGAGAAACATCTGTGATGAGAATCATTGATTCTCCTGGACACCACTCACTGGGGATTAAGTCCACAATCCTAGTATGTGGCCCTGATTGGAATTGAATTTGGGACCCTTCAGTTCACAGGCTAATGCTCTATCCACTGAGCCAAACCACCTAGGGCTGTAAGAGGCTTTTCTGTCTGGTGATATAACTGCAAGTAGCCTTTCCCTTTTTGGCGTGGATCCTTACATGACAGGATCTCTGTTTTTTTCCTAAGTCTCTTCAATTTCTCTAGAGAATAATATTCTAGTTATCAGGACAGGGTGATATTGGTAGTGTAAGAGGTTTACGCACCTTGCAGACAGTGGTATAAGTTCAGAGTTAGGTAGAGGTCGGAGGAGTTCCACAGTGCAGGTTGTCCCTTAATTACCCCTATTTTGCCTTGGCTCCTGGTAGCCTCTTTTTTTTTTTTGTTTTTGTTTTGTTTTGTTTTGTTTCTTCAGAAACTAAAATTCTAATTCCCACCTGACTGCAGGATGTAGACAAGGGCTAGGGTGTCTATCTTCTCATATATGTAGATGTAGCTAATTAGAAAGTTCCTTCTATTTTGTTCTGAACCTCACCCTTGTCTTTTGGGGCATCTGAAGTCTTGAACATTTAAGTTCTTCAGGATTCATTAGTGAGGTTTTATTATTTACTAGAAGCCTGGTGCATAGATTCTTGCACCGGTGGGATCCCTTGGCCTGGCCTGTGCTGTTGCAATATGAGACCCGTCGGGGGATGTTGGAGAGTTGCTTTTGGCCTGATCCCTGCAGACTAGGCTGAGCGACACCAATGATGCATTAATCCATGCACTGGGTCAGTTTCAGTCCAATCTTCCCAGGCAAGACCAAGGGACCCCTCTGGTACAGGCCTCTAGTATGCATATAAGATCTTTGGTTAATCTCTTCTTGTCCTCCCCCCTTCTCTTCCCTCTGAGATTCATTAGTCTGTTCCGTATTTCCCTGCCTGTCATTTCTGCTCCTGCATTGAGCGCCTGCCCCCTGGTGGTCAATGTGCTTTATAGCTATCGGCCAGTATGCCAATTTCTTAGGCTTTTTTATATCTATACTTATAATAGGGTAATATGCAAATTGGTTGGGATGCCATCATGTAATTACTGATCAGGACAGCGGGACAGTGAACTACAAGTGATGGAGAGCTACAGGAGGGCAGGGCAGCGAACTACGTGTTGCAGAGAGTTATGAGCTGCAGTGGGCAGGGTAAGCTGAGGCAAGCGGCAGGGAGCTACTTGCGCACGGATTCCTGCACAGGGCCACTAGTATATACATTGAGTGGCCAGATTATTATGATCTCTGAACACATAATAATCTGGTTACTCAGTGTGTATCCTATATAATAAAAGGCTAATATAAAATTGTTCCCTGGACCAGAAGTTCCACCAGCAGGCAGGCCAGCCAACTGCCCATATCCCCTCCCAATGGCCAGGCTGGCCGGACCCCACACATGCACAAATTCATGTACCAGGCCTCTAATGTATACATATATCTATATTCACTGAGTGGCCAGATTATTATGCGTTCAGAGATCATAATAATCTGGCCACTCAGTGTGTGTGTGTGTGTGTGTGTGTGTGTGTGTGTGTGTGTGTATCCTATTTAATAAAAGAGTAATATGCAAATTGACCATCACTCCAACACACAAGATGGCTGCCCCATATGGTCAAAGATGGCTGCCCCTATGTGGACACAAGATGGTCACCACAAGATGGCCAGCAGGGGAAGGCAGTTGAGAGGGACCAGGCCTGCAAGGGAGGGCAGTTGGGGGCAATCAAGCCTGCAGGGGAGGGCAGTTAGGTGTGACCAGGCCAGCAGAGGAGGAAAGCTAGGGTGACCTCTATAACTAGATCTCTAGTTTGCTCAACAAATCACAATGTCTCATTCAAGACAAACAAGTCAGTACAAGACTAATGACTTGACAATTGGCTGCTAAAATATTCACTGCTAGTACTAGTGGAGAGAAATGGTGCGCCTGCATGCAAGACATGAAAGGGAAATGAATGCAGCACAATTATAGTAATCAGTCATTAGAGAATGTTGTAGTTCGTTATTAATAATTATGTGTAACAGGATATTATAAAAATTAAGTTATAAAATTTTTATTAAAACATTAATTACATTATTGGTGGGCCACAAAAATATTTGTTGTGGGCTACCCGTTTGACATGCTTGATCGAGAGTGTTCTTAGTAAACAGACAAAAGTTTGCAACTACTATTTAAGAATACTTTTTCTCTTTTGGTACCTAATGTATAGAATTCTTATATTTTGAGTCAGTGCTTATCTAAGTTGGCCTTAATTCTTTTTTTATTTTTCAACAGATTACCTCTGTAACTAGATCTCCAGTTTGCTCAACAAATCACAATGTCTCGTTCAAGACAACCCCCACTTGTGACAGGCATCTCTCCAAATGAAGGAATACCTTGGACCAAGGTCACAATTAGAGGAGAAAACCTGGGAACTGGCCCAACTGACCTCATAGGTAAGGGCAAGGACTATGCTGTGTCTCCATTGTAAATGCATTTTTATGTTAAGACAGTTGAGGCAAGATATATTATTTTGAAATAGTGAAGATGATGGAAAAACATTATTGTGGTCTGTGCAAAATGGTCTGAATAAAAATAAGGAAATTATTTGATTTTCCTGTTAAAAAACATTATTTTATCAAATCTTATCTATATTGACTTTCACCAAATTCCTTTAGAAAGTTTCCCATAGTGGAAATTTGTCTCTGTTTCTTCAGTTTTGCTCTCTCCTGCTTAGATTGCCAAAGGTCTCCTTTTTTTCTCTTTAATTTTCTTTCATGATACAACACTTAGTATTCTTTCTCAAGAGCTCTGGGAATTATGCCTCTTCTGTTCCTTCTTGCTTTTTAAATTAAACCTAAACTCCATCTCCTGATGATGTCAGTACCACTTGACTCTTACTCCACCTAAAAGAGACTATCCCAAGTGGTGGAGAGTTATTTGTTTCCTTTTCTCTACCACATAGCTGCTTCCTCATGTTGAAGAGCACCACCACTGTTCTGAAATACAATCTTTGTCTGCCAAGCCTGGACTCTTACAACCAAAAATCTTCATACTAATTCTCACCCATGTTAATCTATCTTTTTTTTCTTTAGGATCCCCTAATATTTACATATTTAGAGCAAGCTAGGTTTTAATTTTTAGGTTCATTTTATGTTTTTTTAATCTTTTTAAGCTGAAGGACATGAATGATAGATTATTATGCATCCAGTTGACAAGAATAAATTATTAGACTAGAGGCCTGATCCATTCATAGGTAGGGTCCCTAGGCTTGGCTGGTGATCAGGGCTAGTCAGGGCCTTCAGGCTGCCGGCTGGGGCCTTCCTTCCAATTGCCGGCCAGAGCCTCCATTCCCTGACTGCTGGCTGCTGACCAGGGCCTCCCTTTCCCACCTGCTGGCTGCCGCCTTCCTTCATTCAGTGCCATCCCCTGATGATCAATGCACGTCATAGCGAGTGCTCGAACTCCTGGACAGTCGAACTCCCAAGGAAACACTTTGCATATTAGGCTTTTATATACATAGATTTGTTGCCTAGGATAGGAAACTCCTATAACAGTTAACAAAGTACAATAGTTCTACAATAATAATTACAATGATGTTGAAAAATTGCAAGGGCCTGTTTTGTGACAACCAGAGTTGTTGTAAACATTGTATAAGTGACAACTCATTTTAGTGGCTAGTATTACTGAACACTGGTCACTTGGCTTCTTTTCCCTAATCCACCAGAACCTGGTGACACTAATGGGAGATAGAGCATGCCTATAAAGAAATAATTTACTTTGATGATAGTGGATAAAGGTTCTGAATCATGAGCTACCCTCATCAAAGAATGGTAATGGTAACCCAACAAAAAAAGGTACCTTTATTTACCTATTATCTTTTGCCACCTTATTGTGCAATGATGAAGAGTTTTGTTTTCACTTTACTTAGATGAAGTTGAAAGATCAGACAGCCATCTTCGTTTCCCCTCACCACCCACCCTCCCTTTTACCCCCACCCCCAGCCTCTCATAAAGTAATTAACATAGGACAAATGGGTTTTTCAGATTTAAGTCTTTCTTTTTTATTTTTTGCTTATAAGATGGTTGCTTTTTCTCTTCCCTTCCTAATGTTGCCATTTTTTCAACGCATTCCCCAAGCCTTCTTCTCTCAGCTCAGATCTTGTACTGGAGCAGAGTTAAAGCTGCCTAAGGCCACACCACATGACCAGTAGAGGTGGTGGCTTAAGAAAGGGGTTCCCATGAATCAGCTGCCAAGAGTGAGAAGGCTAGTTCTGCTGCCTTTCCCCTCCGCTGGGAGCACTCACCACCCCAGGCCTTGGAAAGCTACATTTCCAAAACTACATTCCATTCCACCACAACAAAGCTTTCTCAGGGCACACAACATAGCACTCTCTTCCCCAGTCCCTAGACAAACAGCACTACCAGGCTGGAGGCTTCTCCTGCAACCCTGGGCCAGGATGCCTCAGACCCCCTGTTCCCCTCCGGGCACCTGAGGTTTAGAAGTGGTGGAATCAGAACCCAGGGCAATTTTCAAAAGCCCAGGAGAGTCCAGACTGCTGGTAAGCTGAACCTCACCCACCCACCACCCAAGCCCTGTAATACCACAGCCAGGCTGGCTACTTGAAGGGGTTGCAAGTTTCAATGTTCCCTGCAAGAGTCAGTGTTCTTTGCATCCTAGCCGTTGGGAGTGAAAGACAACCCCCAGCCCTTTGGCAACCCTGTCTCTCCTGTATTAGATATACATACCCTGAGATTTCTGTTTACTCCAGAGAGAGGGAGAAATGGAGGGTGCAGGGGGGACCAATGAGGGAGTAGGGTGTGGCGATTCATGAAGGGAAAGGGTAAGGGCTGGTTAGAGTCACATGGACTGGTTAAGGGGCAGCGGGCCTGCCTGTTATTTTGTTGTCAGCATCCAGGTCACTGGCACACTTGCTGCATGCAAACACACCCCTTGAAATCATCACAACCGGCCAAGAGGCCTCTAACCTAAGCCCCTTAATAATTAAGCTCCAACCCCTTGACAGAAGGAAGAAACTTATATACAGGCACTCTAGCACCAGGTGCTGTGGTTTACCTCTGAGGACCATTTTAAAAGCCACAATAATGATGATCATTAAATAAAATAATTTTTAAAAAAATATATTTTTATTGATTTTTTACAGAGAGGAAGAGAGAGGGATAGAGAGTTAGGAACATCGATGAGAAAGAAACATCGATCAGCCGCCTCCTGCACCCCCCCAACCAGGGATGTGTCCTCAACCAACGTACATGCCCTTGACTGGAATCGAACCTGGGACCTTTCAGTCCACAGGCCTACGCTCTATCCACTGAGCCAAACCGATCTCGGCTAAATAAAATAATTAATAGTATATTGTTTTCTTCCAAATCTTTGGGAAAATGAAATTCAGGTTTTCGACCCATCCTCCAACATTTATAGTTGCCTGTGGCAAAGCCCAGAGTGTGTGGGGGAGTCTGGAGAGATTGGTATTCAAGGTGCAGAGGCACACTGTGAGGAGGGGCAGTCTTGGGATCCCCATCCCCATGCCATTTGCAGGGCTGTTGGCACCTGTCTGCCTGCCACCCTTACCTGTGGATGCAGTTTCCATGACAATGGGTAGCGGCTAGGCAGAGTTCAAGCCCAGTTTCTAGGGCACCATTTCCTGGGCCCTTGCACCCATTCTCTGGCTGGACTCTCCCACCTACGGTGCCGACCTCATCCCCCAGTCTTGCCTAGTTCAGCATGATCACTGGGTTCTCCCCTTCCTCCTGGTCCCCAAACCACTGGGACCTGGGGCCAGCTCTTCCTGGGGATCAGGCGGGTGGGCAGCACGGCCATGCCTGGTGGTCTCTGGGTGCGGTGAAAGTGGATGATGGGATGGAGGTGTGGTGGCTGGGCAGGCTGATGCTCCCTGCTGCTGCCTTCCCCTTCTCCTGGACTCAGGACTTGGGTGGCTGTGGAGTACTCACCTCCACTGGAGCCATAACTCCTCATGAACTGTTGCCTGCCCTGATCCCCACTTCAGCTCCTTCTGTTGTGGGCCAATGGGAGGGGTGGGGGGAAGTGCAAGTTTAGGCTTGTTGGCGCTTCATAGCCACCGATAGTCCTAGTGGTTGCTGAGCTTTTATATATATAGATGTTGGTTAGCATAGTGTGTTTCTCCCTGTCTGTGAAGTGGAGACCTTGTACTCTGGCTTACTTAAGCATTGGTGTTTGTCAGTGGTTCTTACTCATACCTTTTCTTAATGTCTTCTAGAACTTAAAAAAATTTATCTTGCCCACTAAGTCTCAGTGTCAAAAGAGCCTAATTATGGTTTTCTGTTTTTTAAATACAAATGAGTGTGAGATACAGCCAGGGAAGAGAGCAAATTAGAAATATGTTTGTATGGTCAGTTAAGATATTTTCCTGTGAACTCTGAGGGTATACCAATCCACTGAGAATGAGGAAGGGAGAGGCTGTAGTATTAATATATGCTACTGAATATATATTCTGGTTTCCCAAATACATTATCTGGATTCAGACATTCTCTTGATTTATTTATTAATTTGATAAAGTACTAGAGATTATGAGTTGAAACTTGTTTTTCTTGCATTATAGCTTCTGATCTATAGATTGTTTTTTGGCCATCCAGAAACTCCCTTTGAAAAGAGAAAGTGAACTGAAGCTCCACACTATGATTAATAACTAAATTTTGCACATCTCAGATAATTCTTTTTGCTAGTGTGATTTAAATGTAACACTTTATACTGTTTCTCTAGTTATAATTGTTGATTCTTCGGTAAATAAATCATATTTATTCTTATGAAGATAGTCTTATCTAATCCTATGTCCTGGTTTTTTATATAGCTCATTCCAGAATTTTCTTTACCCACAGGGGAAAAATCCCCAGAGAGTATGAAAAGAGACCATAGGTTACATCCCACATTTTAGTAGGCAGTCATTGTGAGCTCCTGAAAATGATGGTTACTAGTCTATGTAATTTTTAATCTTGCTTTAGTTTTTGATAATGCTATTCTTATTTGACTAAATGTGTATTGCTTTTATAAAACTTGTTAATTCAGCTTTCAACCTGCATATGCATTGCCAAGAAACCATTTTTAAAAAAAGCAAACTTAACCTACTAAATTGTTTGTGTTTTTAACTCAGATGATAGCTACACTAGCCAAGTAAAACATTATAAAAACACTTTATTTGGAATTCTACAAGTTACTTTAAAAAAAGATGTTATTATATTTCATGAAACAGGTTTCTTAGCTTTCAGTAACTTAGCAAAAGTGCTTACAAAATTAAGAATTGGTCTTATGATCCTATTTAATTTTCATGACATTTTAAATGATCCATTTGAATCTATGTTTAAAATTATTTTATTATTTTATTTTAGTTAAAATGAAGAATATATATTAAATCAGAGGAACACTGGTAGCAGCTATGACCAAATAAATCTATCATTTTTGGGGGGAATAGTTTTTCACTTGTACCATTATGAATATTTATTCATGTTTGCTCATCTGAACATGTTTTCCAGACTTCATGTCTCTGTGGATGATAGTTGTTCCCATTCCTTAGTTTTTTGTTTTTTTTTAATATATTGATTTTTTTTACAGAGAGGAAGGGAGAGAGAGAGAGAGCTAGAAACGTCTATGAGAGAGAAACATCGACCAGCTGCCTCCTGCACACCCCCTACTGGGGATGTGCCCGCAACCAACATACTTGCCCTTGACCGGAATCGAACCTGGGACCCTTCAGTCCACAGTCCGACGCTCTTCCGCTGAGCCAAACCGGTTTCGGCTCATTCCTTAGTTTTAATCATAAGGTAGTTCTCTAGCAGGTAACTTATATTAGGAATCACTTTACATTAAGCCCTGACATTTGTTGTTCAGTTTTTCTGCTTTCTGAATTGAGTTAGTATTTAAAATCACAAGAACCTTTTTAAAATAGTAAAATTAAAAAAAATATTAACTTATATATTGCCCAGAGTGATATCAAAATGTCTGTTACCTAAAATTAAACAGTTTGTAATTTTAAGCACTTTCCATTCATTTAAAAAATAAACAGACTGATTTTTGTATGCTTAAAAATTATTTGAGCAAATATTCATTGAAGTATTTCACAGTGCTTATCTTGGAGATGGGAAGGTGTTCCAGAGATGCTTTCAATCTTTTTTTTTTTAAATATGTTTTTATTGATTTCAGAGAGAGGAAGGGAGAGTAAGAGAGAGGTAGAAACATGAATGATGAGAGAGAATCATTGATCAGCTGCCTCCTGCCTCTACTAGGGATCAAACCCGCAATTTGGGCATGTGCCTTGACCATGAATTGAATTGTGACTTCCTTGTTCATGGGTTTTTTAAAATTAGTTAATTTTTTTTGTAACAAAAATTAACAGGAAAGATATCTAATACATTCCATTCCAATTTTGGAAAAAAATAATTTTGAATTCTGAATGCATTTAAAAATGTGTAAATGTCATTACATATTTTTAAAAACCAACAGAAACCTTAATCCTTTAAGTGCTTTATTAGTAAGACAAAATTTCATACATGAATAAATAATAAATGTTTTAGGGGAATCTCTAAAATTCATTATTTCAATGGATGTAGTTGTTTTTTATTCCTTTATTATTAATATAACATTCTTACTAAATAGTGCTTTAAGATGTAACAGATCATGAATACCCCCCTTAGGCATATGTTTCTGGGGGGGAAAAAGTTAGCATTTATCAAACTTGACTGCTGAACAATATACACTCTATCTAATAAGAAAAGAAAATGTGAAATGTCGGAGTCTATGCCACATATTGGTTTATTTTTTTTTCATAAATATTTATTATACTAGAGGCCTGGTGACTGAAATTTGTGCATGGATAGGTCCCTAGGTCTGGTTGGCGATCAGGGCCGAATGGGGCCTTCTGGCTGTCGGCTGGGCCTGCCTTCATTCTGCGCCACCCCTGGTGGTCAGCATACGTCATAGTGAACAATTGACCTCCCAGTTACTTAGTCAAACTCCTGAGGGGACACTTTGCATATTAGCCTTTTATATATATATACTAGAGGCCCAGTGCATGAAATTTGTGCCTGGGGTGGGGGTTGTTCCTCAGCCTAGCCTGCACCCTTTCCAATCTGGGACCCTTCGAGGGATATCTGATTGCCCATTTAGGGCACAATCCAGGACTGCTGGCTCCAGGTGCTCACCTGCTTGCCTTCCTGATTGCCCCTAACCATTTCTGCCTGCCAGCCAGATCACTCCCTAACCACTGCCCTGCCAATCTGATTGATGTCTAATTGCTTCCCTGCATAGAGTGCATGGGTGGGGATAACTGGTTTGCCCTGAAGGGTCCCAGATTAGGGTCGGGGTTTCCTTGAGGTGTGGGGTGGCTTAGGCGAGGAGCCTGTGCTGATTTGCAGGTCGGCCATGCCCCCTGGTGACCTAAGCGAAGGCCCTGGTATCTGGGATATATTTATCTTCTACAGGTGAAACTTTGTAGCCTGGAGCGAAGGCAAGTCTTCTGCTTGCTTCGTGGTGGCAGCCATTTCTGTTGGAGTTTATTCACCTTCAATAATTGAAACTTTGTATCCTGGAGTGGAGGCCTAGGCCAGCCAGGGCAGGTGAAAAGCTTGGCTTCCTCCATTGCTGGGGGCAACCATAGCCTGCTATCTCCAGTTCTGTGGCTGCTGCCATTTTTTTTGGGATTTATCTTCCATAATTGAAACTTTATAGCCTTGAGTGGAGGCCTGGGCCCACCAGGGTGTGTGGAAAGCTTGGCTTCCCCCATTGCCAGGGAAACCCAAGCCTCCCTCCTGCTCTCTGTGGTGGCAGCCATCTTGGTTGGGGTTAATTTGCATATCTGTACTGATTGGCTGGTGGGTGTGGCTTTGGCTATAGTGGAGTGATGGTTAATTTGCATATTGCTCTTTTATTAGGTAGGATAGAATTGGACTCTGTTTTGTGGAAATGGAAAATAGAGAGGAAATCAGTTAGTAGACTAGCTGGCAGTGTGTACACATGGTGGTATTTTGGTATTCTGCCCAGGGCCATGTCTTCCTCACTAGTCTTTCAGTGCCTACCTGTTTGGTTATTGCCTAAATTTACATGGAATCTGGGTCTGAGATGGCAGGCATGAGTTGACCTTTTTGGCATGCCAGAAAGCAGAATGTAATGTGTTGATAGTATCATTAGGAAAACACTAAAGCAGTGTGAATTGTTGCTAGAGGAATAATAATGAAATAAAAAAATAAAATAGTAAACCTGTAATAGAGAACATTTACAGGATTTACCAGACTTCAGGCTGTGCTTGCAATAAATTATCTACATTCTGTTACCCATGTATGATTGAACATTAGCAAAAGTACATGCATATCACTTTCAGGGAGAAATATAAATATATTTTTAGGGAATGATATATACATCTATTTATCCTTTACAACTTTATATCAATAACTTAGACTGCTAATAATAGCAATGATTTTCTAATATAAATGAAAGTAATTTAAGATTCTCATATTCTAAGTACTCTAGAATAGCAGTTGCCAACTGGTGGTCCGCAGATTACTGTTTGTCCCTGAGGCCTAAAAAATGGGTGACTGCTGGCTTAAGGAAACCTTTGGAACAGTGGTTGCCAACTAGTAATCTGACAGGTTGGCGGCCGCTGATCTAGAATACCTTCTCATGATTATTATGGGCATTATATAACCTAATTCCATTGATGTTTGAAGAAACTTAAATATATTCTAAAAGAAATCTTAAATATAGTATTAGTGTAAAAAGTTTAGACAAAAATCAAGAGAGACTGGTATACTTGCAAAAATATTGGCTATCCTATCTAATAAAATAGCATGCAAATTTAACTTACCTCCACCACACACACAAGCCATGCCCACCAGCCAAACAGGAGTGAATATGCAAATATACCCAACCAAGATGGCTGTGGCCATGGAGAGCAAGAGGGAGGCTTGGGTTTTCCCAGCAGTGGAGGAAGACAAGCTTACTGCCTGCCCTTGCCAGCTCTGGCCTCCACTCAATGATAGAAGATAAATAAATGGCCGTGGCCCGGCCATGGAGAGAGCAGGAGATTTGGAATCACTCAAGGCTACAAAGTTTGAATTATAGAAGATAAATAAATCCCAGATACCACAGCCTATGTTGGGTCACCGGGGGAGTGTGCAGCCTGCAAACCACCACAGGTTCCTTGCCCAGGCCATCCCATACCCTAAGGGAACCCCCATCCTGATCCATGACACCCCAAGGCAAACCAGGTGGCCCCCACCCATGCATGAGGCCTCTATTATATCCCATCTAATAAAAGAATAATATGCAAATTGACCGTAACTCCCACACCCAAGATGGCTGCTCCCATGTGGGCACAAGATGGCCACCACAAGATGGTCAGCAGGGTAGAGCAGTTTGGAGGGATCAGGCCTGCAAGGGAGGGCAGTTGTGGGTGGTCAGGTCAGCAGGGGAGGGCAGTTAGTGGTGACCAGGCTGGCAGAGAAGGGAAGTTGGGGGCAACAGACCCTGCAGGGAAGGGTAGTTGGAGGGACTGAGGCCTGCAGGAGAGAGCAGTTGAGGGGGGAACAATCCTACAGGGGAGTGCAGTTAGGGGTTACCAGGCCTGTAGGGGCGGGCAGTTAGGGGCAATTAGGTTGGCAGGGGAGTGGTTAGGCTGGTAGGCAGAAGTGGTTAGGGCCAATCAGGAAAGCAGGCAGAAGTGGTTAGGGCCAATCAGGAAGGCAGGCAGGTGAGCAGTTGGGAGCCAGCAGTCCTGGATTGTGAGAGGGATGTCTGACTGCCTGTTTAGTCTCGAATCTACTGGGATCTGGCCTAAATGGGCAGTCGGACGTCCCTCAAAGGGTCTCAGATTGTAGAGGGTGCAGGCTGGGCTGAGGGACACTGCTGTCCCCCATGCAGGAATTTCGTGTACCAGGCCTTTATATATATAAAAGCCCAGCTACCTGAATGGCAGAATAACCAGAATGATTGAAAAGAATTGTGGCTGTGACTTACACTGTAGCAGCCAACTGGTCTGAGCCGGGCCCCAATCGGCACCTTCTCCTGGCCAGCCGTATCCCCTGTTTGGCCCCCAAAACTCCGATTGTGGGTGGGGCTGGCTGGCCAACCTCCCATGTCCCCTCACCCCTCTGTTGGCTTGGAACAATGGGCCTCTCTTGGAGCAGGCAGGGCATACCCCACCTGTGCATGAATTCGTGCACTGGGCCTCTAGTTTTCAATAATAGAAATAAAGGATCAAAAAAATATTATTTCTAGATTTATTTCTCAGTTCTTCAAAAGGCCTGGTATTACTAAGTGAAGAAAGTAGAATTGTATTTTTATGTATATACATGATTAACTCTTGTTATTGTTGTTTTAAACTTTGCATGCTTTTTTTTTTCTTTTCAGGTTTGGCAATTTGTGGACATAATTGCCTCCTGACAGCAGAATGGATGTCTGCAAGTAAAATAGTATGTCGAGTTGGACAAGCCAAAAATGACAAAGGAGACATAATTGTCACAACTAAGTCAGGTGGCAAAGGAACCTCAACAGTCTCTTTCAAGCTACTCAAGCCTGAAAAAATAGGTATCTACCTTTAGTCATGTTATTCTGAAGATTAAAATAAAAATGGTTTTCTCTTTTAAAATTTTAGAACTGTTAAATTAGTCTATAATTTACCCACTATTATATCTCACTAACTTAGATTTATGTTTATTTTGACAGGAATGGTGTATTGGTTAAAATATCCATTACTTTTGAAAATGCACCTAAGAGTAATTATCCTGACATAACTGTCAATCATACTAAATTCTTTATAAAATCTGTTCACTTAACATTTTGATATGACAATTGGCAATTCCTTCTTGAGTACATTTCTTCTTGAATTTCTTTTCTCTTTCTGTTATATGATTAAGATTTAAAGTGAAATATTTTCCTGATTCAGCCAAGTTAGCAATAATATTATTTAAATAATGTGCTCTTTTTTCTTTCATTTTCTCCCCTTTCAGCTCTGAACAAAATGTTGCTTGATCTGAAGGTGCCTTTCACCTTTCAAACTAAAAATAACTCTTTATTGTATCCCATAGCACATGTTACACTTTTAAACACTTAACATCCACTTTCTCATAGTAGAGCAGTGGTGGGGGAATGTCCGTCCACAGGCCATATAAGGCACATGAAATCATTTTGTCTGGCTCTGGCTCTGCCAATGCATTATATATTTGATCTATGAGTTAGTTAAATGTTTGACCAAATATAGCAGACTAATTTTTTTTTTAAAGTATTTATTGATTGATTTTTTATTTTTTTTTAATTTTTTTTTTTTTTACAGAAAGGAAGGGAGAGTGATAGAGTCAGAAACATCAATGAGAGGGAAACATTAATCAGCTGCCTTTTGCATACTCCCCACTGGGGATGTGCCTGCAACCAAGATACATGCCCTTGATTGGAAGCAAACCGGGGATCCTTTAGTCCACAGGCCTACACTCTATCCACTGAGCCAAACTGATCAAGGCAGCAGACTGATTTTTTAAGTTGATAATTTTGTATGGCCTGAAAATGATATTATAAATGTCCAAATGGCCCTTGGCAGTAAAAAGGTTCCCTATCCCTGTATTAGAATAATTAAGAATATTGTCTGAGGAGCCAGATTATGAATATTAATATGATCTTTATATTACTAACTGTGGTACTTTGATGCTTAGTTCCTATGTGGGTAAAAGTGGATAAATTGTATTATCTATTTTATAGGATTAAATGAGTTAAGAGAGCCTATCAACACAGACAGTAGTGTGGTGAAGGCCTGAGGTGGGGTTAGGTACAGGCTAGTAGGGTGTCAATGCGGAAAAAAAGGAGACATATATAATATTGTAAAAAAAATAAAGATTAATAAAAGTTATCTGCATTGGATGATCCTATATAATAAAAGCCTAATATGCTAAGTGTCTGGTCCAGTCATCCATTCAACCAATCAAAGCATAATATGCTAATGATATGCTAAGGCTACTCAACCACTCTGTAGGATGTGCACTGACCACCAGAGGGCAGATTCTCCAACTGGTAGGTCAGCTTGCTCCTAGGGTCTGGATGATCAGGACTAAGTGAGATGGGCTGGACATGTCCTGGAGCCTCCCATGATCCCTCCCCTGCTGGCCAACCTCTCATATCCCTACTCCTGATCGTGAACCAGTGGGGCCCCTCAGCCTGGCCTATGCCCTCTTGTAATCCAAGACCCTTCAGGGATGTCAGAAAGCTAGTTTTGACCTGATCCCACAAGACAGGCTGAGTGACCCCATTGGTGCATGAATTCGTGCACTGGGCCTCTAGTAAAAAAATAAATGAGTTAAATGCTTCACATAACCCCGTTGTACAAAGTAAGGGTTCAATACATTAATTTTTTTCATTTAAAATTTAAATATTGGGATGGATTTATTTAATTACATTATATATCTTTCAAGTGTATAATTCTTTAGTGCATCATGTATATATTGCACACTGTTCTCACCACCTGAAGTCTACTCTCATTTTGTCACCATATATGTGACCTCTTTTATCTTTTACTCTCTTCAATCTCCCTCTCACATCCTTTCTCCGTAGGTAACCATTATACTGTTATTTGTGTCTATGAGTTAGTTTGTATTGTTTGTTCATTTGTTGCTTTCTATTTTATCTCCTAAATGTGAATAGTATTCTATTTTCTGTATAAACCACATCAGCTATATTCATTCATCCATCAAAGGACACTTAGGTTGTTTTCAAGTATAATGCTATGATGAACATAGGGGTACATATATCTTCATGCATAAATATTGTCAAATTATTAGGGTAGATACCCAGAATAGAGATTGCTGGGTCATATGCTAGCTTTATTCTTAATTTTTTGAGGAACCGTTATACTGTTTTTCATAGTGGTGAAAACATGAATAGATCTTGAGAATATCATGCTAAGTGAAATAAATTAGGCAGGAAAAGAAAAAAAATGATACAATTTCATGCATAGGTGGTTTATAAAACTGAAAGCAGCAAATGAATAAAAAAGAAAAATGAACAAAATTTATAGACATAGAAAACAGTATGGTGGTTACCAGAAGAAATGGGATTAGGGGGATTGTAAATGGTATAAAGGGTGGTCAAAAAGATGGTGCTGGAATAAGATTTTACTTTGGTCTGTGAGCACACAATGCAATATACAGGTAAGTCATTTATCATAGATTTTTACATTTGAACCTATATAATTTTATCAATCAGTGTCACTACAATAAATTTAATCTTAAATAATCTATACTAATAAAAGGGTAATGTGGTAATTATACTGGACGTCTTCTGGATGTCCTACACAAAGCCACTGCAGCAAGGCCAAGGGCCGGTCCAGTGCTGTGGTCCCTTTTGCAGAGGCCATGGGAGAAGGCAGAGGGGAAAAGGCAGAAGGGAGAAAGCCGGTGCTATGGGGAAAGGCAGAAGGGAGAAGGCCAGTGCCATGGGAGAAGGCGGAAGAGAGAAGGTTGGTGCCACAGGAGAAGGGAGAGGTGGCAGTTAGGGGGATCAGGTCAGGAAGGGAGAGCAGTTAGGGGGATCAGGACAGGATGGGAGAACAATTAAGCAGTTAGGGGGATCGGGCCAAGAGGAGAAAGTGGTTAGGCATTAAGCAAGCAGGCAGAGGCAGTTAGGGGTGATAAGGCAGGCAGGCAGGTGAGCAGTTAGGAGCCAGTGGTCCCAGATTGAGAGAGGGATCCAGATTGGAGAGGGTGCAGGCTGGACTGAGGGACCCCACCCCCTCCATGCACAAATTTTATGCACTGGGCCCCTCGTTAAAAAATAATTTCTACCAGCACTGTATGAGGGTCCCCTTTTCTCCACAACCTCTATAATACTAGATATTTCTTGTTTTATTGATAACTAGTGACCTGGTGTACAAGTTCATGTACATTGAAAATAAATTAATTAGAAGAAATACTTTAATATCACTATTAGCCCTTTCTCTATAATTGAAGTGTCAACAAAATTCATATTCAACAATGATAAATTGAAAAACTCATGTGCAATTGGCACCAGCAAGAGCTTTATATATGTGTGTGTGTGTGTATATATATATATGTGTGTGTGTGTGTATGTGTGTGTGTGTGTGTGTGTATGTGTGTGTATATATATATATATATATATATATATATATATATGAATAAACCTGCTGAATTAGACCTGATTTCTGATGTAACTAAACTTTTTCCAGCCCAATGAAGGACCACCACTTTTCTTTCAGGTAATTGTCAGCAACACAGCAGTAAACATAAACACAAAGCAGATTATTATTGTAGACCATCCAGGGGGAACAAAGTGTAAAATAGATAACAGCAGCAGTATTTGACTATATTCTGCACAATGAGAAAACCTAAAGTCATTTTGAAAGTCCACCTTTTCTTCTTTTCAGTGGGGACAAATGTCTAAGCTTTCTAAATCCCTGTTCCCTGGCTAGTGAAAAGAAATTAGGATTCCACGAGTCTCCAGTCTACCTACTCCAGGACTTCTATGAGGATCAAATGAGATGAAGCCCCCAAATGGTCTCCCCAACTGCCCTATTCTGCCAACCATCTTGTGTCCACATGGAGGTGGCCACCTTGTGGGTTGGAGTGATGGTCAATTTGCATATTACCTCTTTATTATAAAGGATGGCTTCTTTGTTGAAAATTAGTTGCCTATACATAAGGGTTTATTTTAGGACTCAGTTTTGTTGCATTGATTCATTATTTGTTTTGTTTTGTTTTTCAAATACCATACTGTTTTGATTATCATAGCTTTGTAGTATCACTTGAAATCAGGGAATGTGATACCTGCAGCTTTGTTCTTTTTTTTCTCAGAATTGCTTTGGCTATTCAAAGTGTTCTGTGGTTCTATACAAAATCAGGGATTTTTGTTGTTGTTGTTGTTCTACTTCTTTGAATAATGCCATTGGGATTTTGATGGGGATTATATAAGATTTGTATATTGCTTTAGGTAATATGCCTATTTTAACAATGTTAATTTTTTTAATTCATGAACATGGAATATCTTACTATTTCTTTGTGTTCTCTTTAATTTATTTCAACAGTGTCAATTAGTTTTCAGTGTATAGGTCCTTCATATCCTTTAAGTTTATTCCTAGATAGTTTATTCTTTTTGTTGCAATTGCAAAATGGAATTCTTTCTATCTTTCCCTTGAATTTAATTGTTAATATATAGGAATGCAATTAGTTTTTACACTGATTCTGTGTCCTGCGACTTTATTGTACTTATTTATCGTTTCTAATAGTTTATAAAGAACTAGAAGCCCAGTGTGTGAAAATTCACGCACTGGAGGGGGGTCCCTCAGCCCAGCCTGACCCCTCTCACAGTGTGGGAACCCTCAGGAGTGGGAGGTGACCCAGTGATCAGGGGAAGGTGATGCTGCTGCCACTGCTGGCAGTGCAAACCTTGGCCAGCTTTGGGTTAGCCCTGGGTAGCTGGGTGGGGGTGGAGGTGGGGCTGAGGGAACTGGGGGGGCTCCAGAGGCAGGCTTGCAGAGTGGTCAGACCCGCCTGGGGGAGGCCCGGCTATGCGGCGCGCGCACCACCCTG